AATCTGGATGGCTCTTCACATAGTAACATTCAACTGGTTCGGAGCTCTCTGCGGTCGCAGAGTTTCCAGGCTCACGGCATATCCCTGCTTTGCGCTGCTGTTTGATTTTGGCCCACGATTCCTTCTGCCAGAATTGTTTGGGCGCCACCGCAAAACATTGATATCAGCTGTTCCGCCACTCAACATTGCATGCCACACTTTAAACCCAAACTGGTGATACATGAACTTCATCACAGGGCGAGGCACATGTGCGAACGCCGACACATGGTGCTTCCAGTGTAGCAAAGCTGATGCTTTTGCCACAGACACACTCTGGAATGGATAAAAACATGCAGCGATATCAGCAGACAGATGGAAAGCCACCTCATAGAGATCTTCTTTGTCTCCCAGGATTGCCAAAAGTGTCTGCACCTTTTCATCCTCCTACACAGGCTATGTTGTTCTTGCTATATCGAAAACCAACTTGAATACATCAGAAACCGTTCTCACCTAACATGATCGTTCGTAATAAATAAATCTATCTACATATATAAATATATCAGCTGGTGTAGCTGTAGGTCTTTGTGGTCGAGCCGATGTGACCTCTAGTGACATCAGAAGGTTTAAAAACAATTCATTATATCACCCAAGCTGTATATAGATATAAATATATATATATATCAGCTGGTGTAGCTGGGAGTCTTTGTGGTCGAGCCGACGTGACATTCTTTCTGGCAAATCTTCTGACATTCTTTCTCGCGTATTTTCTGACAGTTCTTGTGGCATATCATCTGACATTCTTTCTGTTCTTTTCTGGCATCTCTTCTGGTCTTCGTTCTGGCATTCCGTACGGCAAATCTTCTGACATTCTTTCTGGCGTTCTATCTGGCATATCTTGGCCGCGCACTCACTTGCGCACTGAAAAAAATCTCACTTGCGCGCTTTACCTCACTTGAGCACCGAGCACTCACTTGCGCACTTTCACGGGGGGAAGGTGAACGGAGTCAACCACCAAACAATCTAATGGGTGGGGTGGGGGGAAGGGTGGCAACAGGCACTCTACAACCGCCCAACAATCTATTGGGTAGGGGGGTGGGAGAAGGTGAAAGGACTCAGCCACCAAACAAAATAATGTTTGTGGTTGTGTGTTTGTGATTGTGGTTGTGGTTGCGTGCTGTGGTTGAGGTCCGGCAGGGAACACTTGGGTCTGGAGCTCGCGGTTGAGGTCCGGCAAGGAACACTGGGCGTGGATGGTCGTTGAGGTCCGGCAGGGAACACTGGGCGTGGATGGTCGTGGTTGAGGTGCGGCAGGGAACGCTGGGCGTGGTTGAGGTCCGGCAGGGAACACTGGGCGTGGATGGTCATGGTTGAGGTCGGCGGAGGAGGGCAAGGCAGAGGAGGACGCGGAGGAGAAGGAGGAGGAGGACGACGATGAGGAGGAGATGGGGCTGTCGTAAAATCTAACAACCCTCACCTGACAGGTGGGGAACTAGATTGAATCAAAGCTGCTTTTTGTTTTTAAGTTGAGTGACTTTCATCCATTTTCGAGATGCGTCACCGGTCTTTTACTCTACTCTTCGTGGGTCGCCCAGGGTCTCCTGGATAGAGACCTCAGCGACCACTTTTGTCGGTGAGTCAGTTGTCTCTTCGAGCTCTTGAAATATTTTAGTCGAACATTTCGTGTCTACGAATCAATACTCAACCCCTGAAGGGTGGCAACAGGCAATCTACAACCCATGCACAATCTATTGGGCGGGGGTTGGGAGAAGGTGAAAGGAAACTCAACCACCAAACAGTCTAATAAGTGGGGTGGGGGAAGGGTGGCAACAGGCAACCTACAACCACCCAACAATCTATTGGGTGGGGGTGGGGGGTGGGAGCAAGTGAAAGGAGACTCAACCAGCAGGCCATCTACAACCACAGAAGGTCAAAGGAGATTACAACCACCAGGGTTCACCACCCCAGGCAGGGACGTGGATCACCAGCACATGCCCCCCGAAAAAAAGAAACAAGGATGACGAAGCAAAAGGGCTACACATATTCTATATACCCAGAGCATCACACACGATGCGCCAATGGTGTGTCATTTGCAACATTTTCACTCTGCCAGCTGTTCATCCACCCTCTGTCGCGGCGCGCCAGAATCAACCCACACTGTGAGATTCTTGTATATGCACATGTAGACTCAATTTCCTCACCAACTTTTCGGGGGGGTCAACTTATATACGAACTACTGTGGGGATGTTGACTCTTGGCCACACTTGAATGTATGTAGCAATTCCTCTGAAGCCACACGCGGTACATGAGATGCAGTGGAACGTGTGCCGGACATGATCTTTCCTGTGTTCGTGCTTGGACACTGCGATCTCTACTTTCTTCACAGAATCTCGTTCCCGACCGGATTCGCTCCTTCATTCGCTGTCTGTCCAGGTCAGGTACCGGCTGCAGGCAGCTTTTTGAACGCCTGCCTCTTGAGACATGGACGCTTATGGCCGCACAAGGTTCACAGTCATGATCGGTGTATGTCTAATTTATTCTTTCCATGGCTGTGAATTTCATTGTTTCATGGTTGCGTCTTTCTTTAGTTTGGTGTGGATTGTCTCTTTGTGTGCTTGCTTTGTTTGTTTGGTGGCTGTTTTCGATTCAGTGCTTCGACCTGTGACAGCAGGTGGATTTCTGCATGCTCTCGATTGAACAATAGCCAAGTGACAATAGCTCGAGAAAACATCAAAATGGTTCGGAACACCCCATGAAATTGTGTTTCCCAAACGTAGCGTTGCTGCACCAAGTATACTCAAACAACCCACACTTATGCGCTGGAAATGTTAGGAACACCCCATTGAAACGTGTCACCCGAAAGGCACCGTTGGCGCACCAAATATAGTCAAATAAAGGTGCGCCGGTGCAGTGCAAAGTATAGTATAGTCCTTTTCCAGTGCACAAGCGGGTATCATGTCCAGTGCACAAGCAAGTAGAATTTCCAGTCCACAAGCAAGTGTTCGCCCCAGATCTTCTGACTCGCGGATGAGGTCCGGCGGGGAACACTGCCAGCCGAACTCGCGGTTGAGGTCCGGCGGGGAACACTGTCAGCCGAAGCTCGCGTTTGAGGTCAGGCTGGGGACACTGCCAGCCAGCCGAAGCTCGTGGTTCAGGTCCGACGGGGAACACTGCCAGCCGCAGTTGAGGTCGGGGAACACTGCCATCCGGAGCTGGCGGTTGAGGTCCGGCGGGGAACGCTGCCATCCTGCAGAAGGATGACCGCAGCTGACATAAATTCAAACAACCCTCACCTAAGGAACAACAAATATAATATGTATATATATATATGTTTATTTATATGGTTATTTATAACATATCTACAACATAGAATACAGGCTCCTATAGCACTGCGACCCCCAAGCCAAAGCCCCTTCGAATTACCCTGGAAACACCGCGTCTTCTGGCTCGCGCTCGGCCATTCAAACGGTCCCGCCTGCGCCACAGCAGCTGCATGCCCTGTGAGCAGACGGTCTAGCCGGAGGGCTTGGAGCATTCGTGCACCAGCGAAGTGCATTCCCTCCCAGGTCAGGAGCTGACCTCCTGAAATAATAATTACTGAGGGATTGGGGTTTCCCCAGTCTCCATTGGGGATCTGACCATCCTTCCGTCTCGATTCTCTCCACCTCATGAAATACTGGAGTTGATGATACAAGACTACTCAGTGAGGTTTTCCCATGTCAGTGATGTTTTCACCTGGACCGGAAGACCCGGGTCTTCTCTTAAGGAGCCATGGCTCCAACGTGTCAACAGAATGGACATCCAAATCAGGGTTTTGGAGGATGGTTTTGACTCCATCTCCTGCGACACTTGAGTGGAGTGTGAAGAGAGGGTCCCCAGCTGTTTGGGACAGATCACGAAAACAGATGTTGAGGGACCCTATTTTTGACTATCCCATAGGTATGCCAGTGGGCTCCTATTTACGGTCAATTAACCTCTCTTGGACTCAAATAAAAATGATTTGGGAGTCCATCAAAGACAGTGGCATAAATGCACCAATGCAAGTGTGATAGCTTGTCGCTGACAAAGCAATCGCACCAGGAACTACCATTTGCCAACTGCTTCAACTGGTGAATATTTTCCATTTGGAGACTTTGCATGGGGTTAGAGAGCTGAAAAAAGGCACTCCTTCACTGGGCGATCGAGCTCGAAAGTGCAACTGTGGTGAAACGAAACACACCTGTGCCCAAAATGAACCTGCATATCAAAGATTACCGCAGCCTCCGCAGCCTTCGCAACCAAACGAATCCAACAGATTGATACCACTGACAAACAACACCTTGACATTGGGTCATTGGGTATGTCTGGTTTCCTGAGACCTGCTATTAGCACGACAGGTTGCAGTTCTACTTTTGAGCCTCCAAAGTAATTCTTGCAAATAGCGATAGACTTCTCCGCTCGGGAATTCCGCAGAACTTGGGAGGGCCAAGTCGTCGGTGCGTCTTTCAACGATGGGATCCCTAATGCTCGAGGCGAGGTTCGGCGCTGAACAACGCGGCTCCGATCTCCACGGACGGAGGATGAATGAAGAAGAAAGAGCAGGAAAACGGTAGCGACAAGTCATGGGTGGGTATACCGGGTCGCGTGCATTCTGAGAAACGCCTGAGCTCAAATACATCTACACTTGCATCAGGAATTGGAAGATGGAAAGGTGGCTTCCAGGCTGCGGTCGCTTCGGTGGACTGGGGCGGGAGCTCCGACTGGGCAGTGATTGATTTCGACCTGAACATACCTGAACCATCCATGGGACTGGAACAGATACCTACATTGAGTGCTCAAAAACAACAAACAACACACCAGCTGACAGGAAAATAGGTCAGTCCCGTGGATGGTCTGGAAAAAAAGAGAGGTCAGCTGGGATTCAATAGGTTGATAGTTGGGGGCAATTGGAAAAATGGAAGTGGACATGGCTTGGGGGCCCTAAGTAAGTGGATCATGGACACCCCTGCACCCTTGGTTATTTTATATGTGTTCTGTTTAGCCCCTCACTTGCCACAGTGAGGCCCAGACCAACTGAAAGGGTGACAAACATCTGAATAGACCTCTTCTGGGAACTTCACTAATCCACCTTCAAGTCGGAGTCTGGAATGCGGCTCGCATCCGCTAGTAGAGGTCTTCTCATCCACCTGTTTGGTCTTTACAAAAAAACACTGAACAGGGGACAGGGGCACTGCGTTTTCAAATCTATCCAGGTCCAGAAGCAGCTTTTTGTAATAGTCGCTCCGCACTTCAAGTCGCCCCCCCTCTGCCTCGGAGTCGAGCACTTGGACGGCGCTCCTCTAACAGCGCCACCGTGCCATCGCCCAACCCTCAGACCGAGGTCTCGGGAGTTACGACGCGCGTGGCGGGCGGCCGTGGGTGGCGTGGGTGGCGGGGGTGGCGTGGGTGGCGGGGGAGGGAAGAGCGAGAAGAGGTCTTTGACTGGAAAGCGCCACATCCATGGGGTATTGAGAGTACGTCTGCAACTCTTCCAGTCTCGTTTTGGACTGGACTATTCATCTGGGACCGGAAGCCCATCACCGACCTTCAGTGAAGGGGCAAAGTGCGGGGGGGAGCTCCAGTGAATGCCTTCCGGTGTATTTTCTGTGTGGGAGTGGAGTCCAGAAAGAATGCTGGTAGGATCAGAGCAACCAACAGAGTTTAAAGAACCCCAGTTCGCCTATCCCATATGTAATTTAGGTGCCGGGTCTATTTATGGTCACTTAACCTCTCTTGGAATGTCCTCCAATTCTGACAGTTGGTCTGTTCATGTCTGTTGAGTTCGACTCCAATTGCCCGTGGCAGTTGTCGTACGAGTACCAAAAAAGCTGTGGGACATCTTCCTACACAGGCACGGAGATGCTAAACACTCCATAGGATGGGGTCTTTACTCACATACAGGGGGGGTGAGGTTGAGGGGTGAATCTGCCGACTATGTGTGCCATACACGGTGACTGCATGTGTCTGGGAAGGAAGTGTGTGTCGTGAAGCAACTGAGCTCGACGCCTCCACCGAAGCCTTTGGAACCACGGTCTGCCCGAGCTCTCAAGCAACTTTCATCCCCTAAAAAGTGGGGTAAACTGGTCCATGCCCTCCCCACAGGCGTCCACAAACCTCCACCAAAGGCACCTGCGGCCAAGGTCTCATCTGGCAAATAAGCCAAAGAATGCCTCGAGGCTGAGTTGGGCAAAAGTGCTGGACCCTTGACTTGATGTATGTTTTTTTGTGCAAATGAGAGGAGGTTCCAGCCCATAGAAATCTGTAACACAAAAGACTATTCATCTTCAATCATCTTCAGTGACATGAACCTTTTCGGGGCTGGCAAAACACTTGCTCCTACTCCACTGGCCGCTAAAGTTCAGCTCTGGGGCTTTTCCTCCACCCAAATAACTCTGAACCTCTTCCTGATGTCTCATCAACCTTCCTCTGGGTGGGGAGCTTTGGCACTCGGATTGGTCCACAACACGGGGGCTGCAACTAAGAATCCCAACCACGACGGGACCAGTCCCCCCTGTTTGCTCGCCACCGTTGGAGGACTCTCTCAAAGGAAAAACACCAGTGATCACCCAGGTCAAGAACATCACCTCCGATCCGCACATCGTCTTCGCGCCCCCAGCCCAAAGGATCACCAGTGATCACCAAGTCAAGAAAACATCTACGCTCCAAGCGCCAAAAAACGTTCGGATCGGGATCCACGGAGTGAAAACGAACCCCCTCCCCCGTGGAACAAGGTCGGTTTTCGCCACCCGAGACGAGAGGAGGTCGACCTGGTCTCCACCTGAACGGACCCCCGATCTCATGGTCGTCGTACATCGTTGTACGTTCCACCCGAACGCGGAACCGCCACCGGGCGACGACTGGGTCGACCAAGCGACGACCGTCTTCGTTTTGGTCCGAACAACAAACGGTGCCATGTCAAACGGTCGACTTGGTGACTTGAACGAAAAAACTCGGAAGGTACTTGGACCCTGCAAACCTACCCCATAGGGTCCAGGTACCTCCTGAGGATGGTCTTGGAGGTGAAAGTACTTCCTGAGGATGGTCGAACTGGGGCCAAAGGACGTTAGGGTACATAACAGTGTCTCCGTCCTCACCTTCTCAAAGGGTGGCATGGATCCCAAAGGGTATCGTCATCGTCCATATCAGTATCTGTCTCATGTCTAAGAGTCTAAGACAACCAAAGGGTTCACCGGTCACCCCCAGCACGCAGCCCAGCTCCAGCTGCGGCCCAGGTGCACAAAGGGCGGATTGAGCAGTTGTGGCCCAGTGGCTGTTGCTGACTCCTGTGGCTGTCGCATGCCCGGAGCTGATGGGTGAACGATACCTGCTTGGTCCTTGACCTGCTTGCCCAAGTGGGCAACTGGGAGAGTTCATGTTGTTCCTTTCGATGATGACAAGAAGGTAGGACAAGTAAATGAAGACACAAAAAGAGTCTAAATGAATCAACTACCAATTCATATGAATCAACTACCAATTCATTGAACAAATGTTGTGAATTTCTGCTTGTCGGTGCTGAACGATGCCAGTTAAACCATTACAATTGGAGACGTTCTTTTTCAGGTTGGTTTGTGCAAGTTTGAGTCAACACACCACTCAACAACACAAACATGTATACGCAAACTATCCATGTTGATCAGTTACAGTACTTGCTTTAAGGATCTTCAAGGTCATAAATGGGTGTTGGGATAAATGCGAAACACTCCATGTATGGAATCTTTTGCCTACATTGGCACCCCTCGAACCACCCCTGCCCTGATCGGGAGCCATGTCGGCCAGTTCCCAGCGGTCATGTCTGGGTAGGTATTACAACCAGCAGTTCCATGTCAGCCCTTGGAGGATCCGTTCTGACCGAGACACCGAGACACTTCACTCCTCACAACCAGCTCCTGACTCCATCAGTGTCCCAAAATGTGTCAAGGAAAATCAGGCTCCAACCTTGTTCCAGGTGTGGTGGATGTTTGTTACATATGACATGACAAAACACGGTAGAAGACACACTTGGATCTCTGCACTGTCTTGCGCACTGCCATGGAGGTCTATACTCTCCATCATGGGTTGGTGGAGTTCACCACCTGTTTGGTCGCAAGAGGCTCATCCTTCTGGGCCATGCTCATCCGCCCAGTTTTCTGGCCACGCCCCGGCCGATGCTTAAAGGGTGGTTGGCAGGTGATCCATTTCGACGATCCGCGTTCCCGGTCCGTCCCCGCCTCGCCCAGATCCTGCTGCATCAGCACCTTGCGACCTGACGCGTGGCCCGGGTTTCGAGAGGCTCGCAGACTGGCCGGCCGAGGGGTCAATGCCAGGTATACCAGGGGCCACCCGCACGGCTTCACGAGGAACCCCTTGGTCATCAAACAACAAAACACAAAAGGCTAAGGGCGTAAACATGGTCCGGATCACGGTTCTAACTTGTTTCTGATTTGTGGGACTGGAAAAATGACATGGGAGACCCTGAAAACGCTGGACGTGATCTGCATTGGAGTGTTATATTGATCTACATCAGGGGGGTTTTAATGTCAAACACAAACGTCCTGGTACGTTGTGAACCTCTAGTGCTCCAACAAACTCCTCAAAAGGTGGGGAACGACCGCGCAAATTCCATTCTATTAGGATGCTATTTGGTGGTCAGGAAAATATTTCGATACTACTCATGCCGTGTGATCCAAATTTGTCAGTGTGTTTGGGTGCATACGTGGAGAATGTGATACTTTCGGCAACGTCACCAAACAATAAAAGGTAATAATATGCAATAATCATGTTTGTAAAAACACATACATGGAATGGTAAATTGGTTCCGACCCTCCCACTTTTAACTGTATAATTTGTAAGAACAAGAAATTGCAACACCTGGACCTAGTTCCTGTCTCCAACCACGAGCAAAAATCCAAAATTTGTTCCGGCATCTTGTTTTTTTCCACAGGACATTTATTTCAACACACCCAAAACACCTCGTGCAATGTTTTCCTTTGCGTTCCCCGCGTTCCCCACGTTCCACGCCGCTTGCCGCCACTGCACTGCCTCGGCCACTGCGCTGCCAGAAGACCACCGCAGCATCGAGGCCGCCCGAAGCGAGAGTCCAATCACGGCCTGGTCGCCCCGGTCTCGTGACTCCCATGATCTCGGTTGTCGTCGTCGAACTCGTCTTCGGTTTTCGTTCCTTCAATCATTTCGTTTCGGTGGTCGAGTCGTCGCTCTGGTTTTCGGTGGTCCAAACAACATGTTGGTAACCCAATAACACGCACATGTTTGTTTGCAAAGATCGGTGCAGAAATCATGCATTACAATTTTCAAAAAAGCGCAAAAACAACATCTGTGTTATCTAGACAATGGTTAATGTTGTGCCAACATCTGAGACCAATAATCAAGATATCAAACAACTGCAAAACATTGACATGTCAACAAACAACAAAAACGAAACGTTGCAAAGCAAAAACAACATTGAACAAACAAAAAACAAACAAACTGCACATAATGATTTTGATCAAACACACACACACACGAATAAGGTCAAACAATGTCGACACAAATGCTTAGGTAAAAACATATTTGCAAACTATGCATCTGTTGAAACCAAAGTTGAAAACCATAAAGAAGAACCTTATATAATCTATCTTGATCACAAAACAAAGATTTGATCACAAAAATCTATACTGACCAATTTTGATCAACACTGATCTATGTCGATCAAATCTGTCTTTTCAGTCTTTGGTCAGAGACACACCGGCTTTCCTATTTTTTGGCGTAATGTGTTGGTTGTCATTTTGTATTTCATGCGTTTGTATTTTTGACCCTCAAACCCACCCCCAACATGTCCACACCTCAAAAGGCACTTGCAACTCCCAGTCCCAAAGGTACACATAGAATGATTCTCCGAAACCGAGAGAAACTTCTACCCTTTGCAAAGCAACTTCTCTGAAGGCTCTGGTTCCGTCCCGCAGCAAAACCACGTCGAAAACCAATCGGACCCAATCAGATTTCAACATAGTATATACATAAGCCTTGCCACTCGCCTTGCGCACTGGTTTACACTCCATTCCCAGACCAACCATATGTCATGTTAGGGTCATACATGGACTAACACATTGTGGAACTTTCTGATATACATGGATGTATGGTCTATAGGGCAGGAAACCCAGGAAACACAATCCGCAATGATGACATGTACTGTAATGATGATAACAAAAACTATATGAAACTGTCTTCGATCGTCGAGATCTCCGCTCTTCACTTGCAGGTCTGCTCCTCTTATTTTGATCGTCGGGACTCGGGACCATGAGTCTGCCCCCTCGACCTTGCCGTCCACCGTCTTCGTTTTTCGCGCTTCCCCACCCTCACCCGTCCCTTAACTCGCCTGGCTTCCAGGCCACGCAGCTGCAAATATTATCCTCAGCGCGAGGAAGATGGGGGGGGTTGCCTTCAACATGTTCTGTAGGCAAGATAGGCAAGATCTGTGTGTGAGCAAAACACGCAAGCGCAGCAGTGCGCGAGCGTGATGAAGAGGGGAAGCCTCTTCACGACAGCGTGAAGAACACCAAATGAACTGGCTCCACCGACAGGAACTGCCTCAGTGACTCTAGGGACACTGAGTCCAGTCAGGTGGTAACGTCTACTTCATCATTCTTCATGGTACTGCAAAAAAGCAGCGCTGGTCTCTTCATTCCCGTCTTTGTTGGAGGCATCATCAGCGTCTTGCAAGGGTGCCAAGATGTTGAACACAGGAGCACCAGCCTCCTTGTTCTTCGTCTGCTTGGCCTGCATCATCTCGGAGCCGCTCTTCCGGTAAAATTCTGTCAATCAAGCGTGATGAAGCTTGAAGGCAGGGAACGCGACAGGATGAGCGTTGAGCCTGCTGATTGTATATGTCGAGTCCATGCCTGGAATGAGACGGCTGTAAAGTCTCAACCAACTTCTTGTACCCGGAAAGTTCAAAGTCCAACTTCCTTCGCAACATCACTCAGCTGTTGCAGCCGATTCTCCCTGGGTGAGTGTCTCTGGGTCTGTGATGCGTTCGTTCAGGTAATCGAGCACTACATCCGGCGATGCCATGAGACTGTTTCGGCCCTAATCCCAGCCCCGAATGCACAACAGGAACGAAAAGCCTGTGGCGCCTGGCTGCCACAGCTTGCCAGCTGTTGAGTCGCACTGCGTGATAGTACTGTGGTTGCAACGCAAAATTGGCAGCATCACTCGGCTGTGTGTGCCGCCCCAAACACGGTGATTGGACAAACGACCCCTGTTGGTAAACATAGATTGGGGGGTCCCAACTCCGGTGACCCTAGTGCATGTAAATCCAACTAAAACTACTCCGGTATGACGTAGTGAGACACCTTCCACCTTGCTGGTCTTCCTTCGCCCGTGCCTGCCTGAGACCTGCCGTCAAGCCGCGTGGCCCGCCTTTCCGGCCAAGGTCTTATCCACGCGCCTGGGCGCATCGATTGGCAAGCCATCACGCTCAGCGCCGCGAGCGCCGCGAGCTGTTTGGAACTGGAATATGCGCCGCCCCATATGGACCCCAAATCAACCAGGACTGATCGGTCAATAGGTCACTCCCAGACAAGTCGTGGGCCCCTGGTTTAGACCAAGGCGGCCCCAAGGGGACAACAGCTTCCATGATTGTTTGAGGGAGGGAAAATACATGCTCAAAACATGTTATGCTATAAATTTATACATTGTAGATTAGATTTGTCAAGGAAGCTTGAAAATGCACATGTTCCTGATTCCCAAGGAGATCCAGCACGAGAAACTCTCAGCAACACCAGGATCAAACCAGGCTGTCAAAAGATGTTGTCAGAACTTGTAAACCATGTGAATGGCTGGCTGAGAGTTGCGGCGCATGGGCGGCCCACCTGGGACCTGTTATGAATGGGACTGGTTGGGAGCTAGGCCACTGATGGCATGGGTGAATGGGATGGGGAACATGTTAGCCCCTGGCCACGACGTCCGGCCATGGGTACTCCCTGGACAACACCGCAACATGCGATCCTGAAGGAGACCACAACAAAACCTTCCGTTGATCTGAGGCAAACGTAGAACGGATGATTCTGATCTTCTGATATCAAATGATCCACGGATGGCTGTCAGAACGGTTACGTCTACCCCGGGGCACCCACCAGGTGGACTCTAGCTGACTGAAGTCAAGGAAATTCCTAAACTCGGGTCACCGAAAGAACTATCAAAAACCATTCTGTTTAAAGTTAATCGTCTTTGTCTCCCAGGGCGAGCCACATGCACCGCCCAGGCACCACGTGTTGAGGTCCAGCAAGTGCACGGGGCCCGCATCTTCCGCCACCGCGCACAAGTGCCCGGCGTGGTCGATGGAGATCTGGCGTCGGTCGATACAGGGGGCCCCGTGGACCCCGTGGAGGCCCCTGGATTGCGTGGGCCTGCTAAGCGAAGCAGCACTTCAAGTCCGAGCTAAGCTAGCAGCTAGGGCAGCTCGGAGAATGGACATGTTTTGAATGTGTTTTGTGTTCTAATGTGTTAATGGACCATGGATCTTGGATGATCTCTCTAACTTGTGTGAAGACTTCCAAAATGTCTGACAAAAGGGAAAACAGCGTCAGAAGACGACCAAGACATCCGAAGACTTCCATGAAATCGACCCTCGGAAGGAACATTCCTTCCCCTTCTTGGAACCCAAACACAGGCTCTCCACAAGTTGAACTGATGGAGGACTCCAAAAACTGTGTTTTCTGTGGTTTTTCCTATGTTTTCCTGGACCGGGGAGACATGTAAGGAGACAAGTGGAGAGACAAAGAAACAGTGGTACCGATGGAGCAAAATGCAAATCAACCACCCAGTCATTCATTGAGAAGTCAGAACCCCCTACAGCTTTAGCCAGATCTCTGGGGACTTCAGCTGTCTCAAGCAACATTGACATGTTGGTTGATGGTCTCCAAAATGGCTTTACATCATCATATGATAGGGATTTATTTCTGAGATCCACCGCCTCGGGCCGCTCGGTACCGGGACCTCGCCTGGTTGATCTCATCTCTCGCCAGGTCTCGCTCTCCACTGGGTTCCTCACCGGTGGGTCGTAGCCAAAACCCAAACTTAAAAAATGCGTTCGGTGGACTCCTCTCTGGTAATGACTCCTATAGCAAGACTACCAATGGAACTGGAAGAGTTACATACGTTAGGGGTGTCCTATTTCCTGGTCAGATCAGTAAACAATGTTCAGTATTATTCTAGAAGAATGCCTTTACATGCCTTTACCAACACTCATCAT